CTGGACAGTGCTTCCCAGGCAGGAAGAAGAGACTGGCCCTCCATTTCTCTTTCTCTCGTCTCTGTTAAAATGCTGTTTCCCTGTGTCTGTAGAGCACACATCCCTGTGTGCGGCACACAGAGACCCTTCCCAGGAAGCACAGCGGGCGGAGCTGCGGCCGGGGGGCTCTTCCCCGAAACGGCAGACATTGGGAGTGAGGAGCCCCTGTCCTGGGAGCCTCCAAATTCCCTGAATCGCCTGCTCCTGGAGGGCTTAATTCTCGTGTAATGGAAATGCAGTACTTGACCATCCTAAAATGGGGCGCGCACTGTCCCCAGAGAAGTCCTGGTCCACGTCGAAGAGGCACAGGAGGGGGTTGCGTTGGACAGGAACCGTGAGAACGCAGACGTCTCTGCGGGGCGTGTGGGCTCTCGCTCCTCTCGCTTCTCCCCTGCGCTCTTTTCTTCCCTCTGTTTTTCTAACAGTGGGACGGAACCCAGGGCCTTATGCATGCGGAGCAGGTGCTCTCCCACTGAGCCACATCTCCAGCCCTTTTATTATTTTATTGTTATTACTTTTTTGGGGGATAAGATCTCACTATGTTGCTCAGGCTGGGCTTGAATGTATGATCCTCTGCTTCGGCCTCCAGAGTAGCTGGGATTACAGGTGTGTGCCACTACGCCCACCTTCTACTGGCTTCCTGGGCACGATTTCTGTTGTGGACTTTCCCTGGTTGTATGAATTCTTCTGCGTTTGCTCTACTGCTCGCACCAGGGCTGCTTAGTAGTGGACACTGCCCATGGGAAGCACCCGGAACCGGCAGCCCTGCTCCAGGGCCCCTCCCAGGCAGGCCGAGGTGCCAGGGCCCACCACTATAGGGCCCCTCCTGGGCAGGCCAAGGCGCCTGGGCCAGGGCCCACCACTGCCTGTCCTGGGTGCAAACAGCAGAGAGCCAGGGAAGCTGGCAGCTGGGACCCGGGCCGAGCACCTTCTCCAGGAAGAGAGTGGACAGCGGCCCAGATGACAGAGCCCACTGGATGGGTCGTCAGTGGGGACACGGTGCTCAGGAACTGGTGCCTGGGGGACCGGCCGAGGACAGGGGCTGTCCCTCCACGAGATGCCCTCCCCCGGGGTCTTCCTGTGGTCCGGCCGCACCTCAGCCTTAGCCATCTTGCGGGCTGCGCAGTGGGTGTCAGCTGATGCTGTGAGGAAAGGGGCCTCTCTGTGGGGTCAGCAAGCTGGCAAAGGGTGTTTGTAGTCTCTGGGGACGTTCTTCAGACCCTGCCCCAGAATGGAGGACAGAATCTGAGTCCAAAATGGGAAGAGAGGGGAGAGGGAGAAAATACAACGCTCTTCCACCGAGAGTTCACCTCTGCAGCCCGCAGCCCAGGTCCAACTTTTCAGCTGTGTGAATCGGCAAAGGCCTTTTCTTCTCTTCTGTGTCCCCAGGGGTCCTGACTGAGTGGACGCTGGCAGCGGAAGGGCAGAACCAAAGCGCAGAGCAGGGACCGGTGTGCCGGGCAGCAAGGCAGCGGCAGGGCTGGGACGAGCGTGGGGGTCTGATGCGGCCGCCTCGCTGAGCGGTCCCCACTGCCTGGGCCGCACAGGGTGAGGGGGTGCAGCCTCAGGTGCTGGGGCGCAGGGGCAGGGCTTCTCTTCTCCCGCTCCTCGGCTGGTGCGGGGGCTTTGTTGGAAATGAAAATTGCCGGTGGACACACACGCTTCCAGCTGTCTCCTGCTGCCTGACAAATGAGCCCAAACCTCATCCGGAAACAACAGCCATGGGCTGCGCTCACAGGAGGGTGCTCAGGGCGGGACAGGCCGTGTCTCTGCTGCATGCAGCTCGGGGATGCTGGACCCCCTTCCAAGGCAGTGCCCACCTTGGGTCATGCCCTGGGTGAGGGGTCCCACAGCATGGGGGTTGGTTTTCCAGAACAAGGGTCCTAAGAGCCAGGAAGAGGAGACTGCTAATTCCTACAGACCCGGCCTGGGAGACAGCGAAGCGCCACTCCACAGCTCCGCTGGTCGAGCAGCCTCTGAGGTCGGCTGTCAGGGCAAAGCTCACCACGCCCCCTTAGGGGGAACAGTTCATAGTTTAAGGCTATATTGTGTTGTTATTTTAAAATCAATTAATTTTGTTTTGTTTTGAGACACAGTCTCTATGTATTTCAGGCCTGGCCTTGAACTCACAGCACTCTTCCTTCCTCAGCCTCCTGAATGCTGGGATTACAGGGCTATACAATCATGCCTGAGAGGAGATTGAATTGTGAATTCCATAAAATTAAGAGAGGTAGGCTTGCTGGGGCCTGCCTGTAATCCCAGCACTCAGGAGGCTGAGGCAGGAGAATCACTATGAGTTTGAGGTCAGCCTGAGCAACAAAATGAGTTCAAGGCCAGCCCGGCCTGCATAGTGAGAGCTGGGGCTGGAGTCCCAGAGACTCTGCAGGCTGGCCGGGCACTGTCCCGGCTCAGAGTCTTTCCTGCAGGGGCCTGGGTGACGTGGTGACGGGGGCACTGAGTGACCAGGCAGGGCGCTTTGCTTACCTGGACAGCGATGTGTCATGGAAGTCAGGCTAAAAAAAAAAAAAAAGGAAGTCAGGCAGGTTGCTCGATTAGTTAAATGCAGTCACCAAATTCCTGGGCAGGGGGGCTGGGGATTTAGCTCAGCGGCAAAGCACCTGCCTGGCAAGCGCAAGGTCGTGAGTTCGGTTCCCGGTACCGGAGAAAAACCACACACAAAAAAAAACAAATCCCTGGGCAGATCTGTTTGCTCCAAGCACAGGCGGGGGTGGTGGGGGGATACAGCACAGCCACCGACCAGCGGGGAGCGGCCTCGCGCCCACCGGTAGAGGGCGCTAAACGAGACCGAGCCACAAGCCCCAAGCCCCAGCGTGCCCCTCCGTGGCCACCAGAGGGCGCTACTGTATGAGCCCCATCCTGTGAAACGCCCCGGCCGGACTAATCCATGTCCCCTAGCGGTGCTGAGGGGGAAGGGAGCAGCTAAAGGTTTGGGGTCCTTCGAGGGTGCTGAGAAAGCTCTGGGCTTCCTTCTGGGGTGCTGAGAGGCGTGGTTGAGCAACACTTTCTGGCCCGGAGTTGTACCCTTTATGGTGGGTACATTTTATCTCATATGTATTTAAGTAAAAAAATATTTGTTTTGAGGCAGGGTTTTTGCTATGTAGCTTAGGCTGGCCTTGACCTCACCGTGATCCTCCTGCCTCGGCCTCCCGAGTGCTGAGATTACAGGTGTGCCTCACCACGCCCCGCCTAAGCAAAATTTCAGAAGTGAGGCTGGCAAAGCAGTCGGCTGTGTTTGGCGGCCTGTGGTTGCGTGTGGTTTGGGCAGCGGCACGGCCTTGGCCTGCGGCAGAGGACCGTGGCTGTTGGCACTCACTGGCAGGTCAGTTTTACCCAAGTGTTTTGTGTGGAAACAAATCAGCACCGAAACCCATCGGAAGGGCGACGCCCCTCGCGCTGACGCAGCGGCCAGCACTGCCCCCGCGCTCGGAGGGGCCGGCAGCGCCCCAGGAGGTGGGCTCCGCCGTCCCTTTTCACAGAGAAGCCTGGGACGGCTGTGGTCCAGGGTGGAGCCCCGGCCCCGGCCCCCGGAGGCACGCCACCGCCAGGGGACCTCCAGGACGTCCTGCCGGCCCGCAGCGTGGGCGAGGAGCCTGAGGACAGGAAGTTGAGGTGGCGCCCTGTTGCCAGTGTCCTGCCCTGCGGCAGTGACTGACCCGTCCTTGTCTCTCGCGATGGTCCAGGGTGGGCGCTGCGGCCGGGGCCGGGGTCACTGTGCACAGCGGCTGCTCCTTCTTGTCATGTGAACTGCCCACTGTGTCCCAGAACTCTGTCCCCCAACAGCATCTTTTTTTTTTTTTCTTTTTTGTACTGGGACTCGAACTCAGGACCTTACGCTTGCCAAGCAGGTGCTTGTGCCACTGAGCTGTATCCCCGCCCCCCAACAGTGTCTTTGTGTGGAGTACAGAAGGGAGTGAGGACGGGGGACGAGGGCCCAGGCAGCGCCGTTCGGTCTCCAGCGCCCCGGGTGGTGGCCCGGCGTCCTTCTGTCTGGCGTCCACAGTCCCAGGGAGCAGCACCTCCGGCCGCAGTGTGCCGAGTCCCCGCGCTGGGGGCCTCTGGACGCCCGGCTGCCTTTCCTTTGCAGCACGGGCTGCGGGGTCACCAGGCCTCCCCGTCAGCACCTGTCTCCAGGTCACCCCTGCTGCAGGCCTCCTTGCCCAAAGCTGTCTCCTCTGCCTGCGGAGGGCCCACACACCCCAGCCCCAGTACTCAGGGCAGATCGGCTTCCGGAAGCAACTCTGCCCCCCCCACCCGGCCCAGCCTTGGCTGGGCTCCCCGTCAAGTTAGGGTCCAGATGAAACCCTGCCTTGGCTGGCGAGGCTGTCGCGCCACCTTGCTGTCCTCCTCAGCTCTCTACCCCTGCTGTGGCTGTGCACCCCGAGCCATTGCTTAGCTTCTCTGACCCTCACAGTCCTACCCAGTGTTCTTTCAATACGTCATCCCTGCGTTTCCCCGAAAATAAGACCTAACCAGAAAATAAGCATGGGTCGTTACCATGGTGGTGGCCTGTGTCCCCATTCTCCTGCTGGGGCTGCTCTGGAATGGCAGGCCAGGCTCGGCAACCAGCGCTGGTGTTTTGGATCTCTAGTTTCCAAGACTGGCTATTTTCCGGTTAGGTCTTATTTTCGGGGAAACAGGGTCTGGTCATTTCCCTGTTGGGCCTCTGCTAAACCCTTTTGGAACTGTGCCGCTGACTTCCTGGCATCACAGGGCTTGTGAGTTCCAAGCCCTGGTCCCCGGAGGAGGCCGAGGCCTGCAACTTGCCAGAGGAAAGCAGGGCGGAAGGCTGGGCTGGACACAGTCACAATTTCTTGGCCGGTGAGAGCTTCATGGGTAATTTGTCTTTAATTAATTAATTATTGAGACAGGGTCTCGCTACGTACTTCAGGCTGTCCTGGAGCTCACTGTTTAGTCCATGTTGGCCTTGAACTCGTTGTGATGCTCCCGCCTCAGCCTCCTCCGTGCTGGGATTATAGGCGTGTGCCACCATGCTCAGCTGTAATTCACCTTTCTTCATCCTGGAGACACCTTCAGCAAGAGGAACCTCCTGAGGTCCCCAGAGTATCTCAAAGGCAGCATTTTAAGGTATTGACAGAGGCCCCCACACCTGGATCAACCTAGGTGGGAGCATGCTGCCTCCCCTCTCACCATATCCCCTCTAATGGGGTGTGGGCCTAACTCCAGAAGCTTGGACTGGATTCTTGTGTCTTCCTTGGGCAAGGGCAAGGGCCTGGTGGGTAGGTGACTGTGCCTATCTTCCCTTTTAATTGCTCTGGAAAACACTGAGTTAGGTGTCTAAGCCAACAGCCCAGGCCCTCAAAGTGATGGCTGATTGGTTCATTCCTGACCCTGCCTCAATCAGCAAAAGCCTTTCCTTTGTGGGAAGGTTACAGTGTTTCACTCTATCTTTTTTGTTTGTTTGTTTTTTGGTTTTTGTTTTTGGTACTGAGAATCAAACTCAGGACCTTGTGCTTGTCAGGCAGGTGCTGTGCCACTGAGCTATATCCCCGGGCCTGTTTCACTCTATCTTCATTCACTGATTCCCAGGGCCTGACACAGAACCCAGCAAGCTCAGGGCCAGGGATGGAGGATGTGGCAAACTACAAGGACTTTTAGAAAGTTTTGAAATAATATGAAAAAAGCCTTGTGGTAGATTCATTTTTTTCCCAGCCAGGTATTCATGCACCCATGCTCAGAATTCTGTCACAATTCTGAATGCATCTCTAAAGGTGAGCATTGCTGGGCGTGGTGGCACATGCCTGTAATCCCAGCATTCAGGAGGCTGAGGCAGGAGGATCATTGTGAGTTCGAGA